TATTACTGCCACAGCATACATTCTATTTCATTTGTAACCAATACAAATCGAATAAGTATTTAAAGACTAATTTCTTGTAGCACTAGGCCAATAAGGGATCTTAATTATCTGACAAAGGTGAGAATGACTACTACTATTAAGGATTGTGTGAAGAAACACGTAGCTGGGACTAGTGACATTTGTCAAATAATCGTAGGTTGGGTTTGAAGTTGAATTAACGAAAATCAATAATATAATAGTTATTAATATCAAAAGTATGTAATCGTTGAATGGAGTGATTGATTTGCATGAATAATGTAGTCATAAAATAAATAGTAAATCGTAGTTTAATAGATTAATTGTGTGAATGTATCAAGAGAGATTAATATAAATAGAAAGAAATTTTGATTAGTAAAGGAGATTCACTTTTCTTTTAAAATATATAATAAAGTCATAAATCGTTTACTATATAAGTTTTCATTAAATGTATAAATATAATATGCTCTTTACATTAAGGTAGTTATTGTCAAACATAAAGTAAACCAACTTGATCAAACGTTTGCATTCCTTAATACCTGCTATCAAAGCTTACCTTCATTCTAGATATAGGATATTGCAGTATTTGGGGAAGCACCTTCCTCTAATTAACATCGTGACATTATATATTGCAGCAGTGACATAAATCATTAACCCAAACTTTGGGGTCATCATGGCGAATTTATTGCCAATATCAATACTACAATATATAATATAGTATTAATTCTTCAGAAACTAAAATTTACTATGATAAAAATTTTAAGGTTAGATCAAAATGTATTATTGATAATTAACAATAGCTGTAATACTGTAAAACTTATCTATTTATATAATTGCTCTTTCTAGACAATTGGAATGAATTATATCTATATACGTTAATAATTACTTTTTTCAAATTGGTAGAACAATTGAAAATGAATCATACCAGTATATAATCACACTTTCTAAATTAGGAAGACAATTAAAAATAAAATCATATCATCGCTCTTTCCAAATTGGTGAGATAATTAAAATGAATTCTATGAACTCTGCATACTATCACTTTTTAATAACATGTAGGATTTATAAAGTTCATAGAATTCATACAATTTTAATAGTATAACCTAATTTCGCTGATAACTGTTTTGCCAACAAAGTTGGTCTGATTTAGGTTAGAATAGACCTGGTTTATGGTTAGCATTGGCTAAATGTTATCAGCGAAATGGCTATTAGAGAATTTTATCAAAACCGATTCAAATACCTTATTAATTTCAGAATTTAAAAAGAGTGAAAATATATAAGGGTTAAATTATTCCTTACGTCGATATTATACTGTATTTATCGTACTATACATAAAAAATGGATGGTTAGTAACTAAATTAAAATATATTTTTTACAAAAACTAATTACTTACATTTTTATATTTTAAAGCTAAAGACCTGACTTGTTTGTTTAATCAACTTGATGAATCTTATAAACTCATGAAGCAATTAGCTAAATGCGAAACTAAAGAGAAACAAAGATTTCGCAATGCATCTACCGATTTAATTAAAAACTGAATTCAACTATTTGAACCTTATTTTCCTGAATTAAGTGATCTTAAAAATGAGTTACAAAAATATATAATTTGCGAAAGACATTATAATCAAATAATTGCAAAAGATAACTATTTGGACTATTTAAGAGGTAAAACATCTGATTATCCTCGAAAAAGAACTTGTAATTTACTAAGTAATAATAGCTCTATTTTAAGTAATACTCAAGAGTCTTTAACTATTGATATCGGAATTCAAGTAACGATGGATAGTGATTATTTAAAACAAATAGATACCTTAAAAATTTCTTTGTCTAATCTTGTAACCGATCATTCCAAACAATCGCAAACTATTCAAGCTAAAAATAATAGAATTTCTGAATTAGAACACGAATGTGAATATTTTAAAAAACAAATTGCTAAGCTTAATACTAAATTAGAAAATTTAAATTTATATCAAAATCAAGTTAAAATATTAAAAATAGAAAAAAATAAATTAGAATATGAAAATGTATATTTAAATAAACAATGGAATGAGCGATATAATACTCAACAAAAGCATATAGTAGAAATCGCCAAAATTGCCTTTTTAGAACGAAAGTTTTTATATGATGATATTGTTTACCTAATTAATGATCAAAATCGATTTTCTTTAGAAAATTTATTAGAGTTTGATCCTCCTAATTGGCTTAGATATCGTAATCCTGTAATAGTAAAATTTATAGAGACACTTACCGATAATGATGATAAACAATTACATCAAAATAAAAATTTCAAATATGTAACTGCCGTAGATGCAATTTATAGATCACGATATAGCAAATATGTTTCTGCAATAAATCTTGCTGCATCTGCAATTAAATATTCCATTGCCTGGTCTAAACTTATAATAGATGTAGATAATCATATTACTAGTGGAGGTGGATATACAAAATTTGTAAATTGGATTGAGAGTTTAGCAATTGAACCTAAGTCTTTGCCCGACGGATTTTTAGTTTTAGCCTTTGATAATGAACAAAAAGGCCAAAAGAACTACTTAGATCGGGGGTATAATACAGTTGTATATCATACTGTAACTAGTTTTGTGGTTCTTAATTTTGATCCAAATAATAATAGTCAATTAAAAATTGAACCACGAAGATGCAATTCACTTAGTGAAGATGATATTAATCAATTGTTTTATTTAAATGATAATATGAAAAAAAAACTTGAAGAAGAGCTTCAACATTTTATTAACGAAATAATAAATAATTTACTTGCAGAAAAATGTCAAGAACTGAATGAAATTGATAAGCTTGTTGAAAAGCAAAATAACACGACTAATAAAATAAAAAAATGTTCACAATGTTTTATATCAGAAATCAATAACAAAAAGCATAATTGCTCTAATTGTAATGCAAAATAACTAACACTTACTTCAATAAATCAAGCGTTGTCTTCCCAGCAACCATTAGTATTAGAATCAGAAAATATAAATAAAACAATAATATTTAAGCCTTACGAACTTAAAGAACAAAGTAAATTTAATATTAAATCACAAAAATCTAGAATTAGTATAACACAAAAAATTATAGCAGATCAAAATATAAAAATTCCAGAATTATATGTCCCTGATCCGATTTCTATTAATCCTAATTCTTTAGTAAATGTTCAAAAAGTTTTAGAACATATAGAAATAATTGCTGGAATTAAATCTGGGAAGCATAAATGGATACCTGTCGTATGCGATGGCGTACTATATAATCAAGCATTAAAGTTAAGAAAGAACTTTCTGTGGCTAATTTTACTTCTAGGTGCTCTACACGAAGAAATGAATATGCTTAAAGCATTTGTTGAGTTAAACTGGTATAGACTAATTTTCAAAGTTATATTAATTTTATTATTTTTTACTTACATTTAATTTTTAATCTTTAAGAGAAATAGATGTAAAAGCATTTGCCTGGTGTCAAGGATATCGAACAGATAATCAGCTAGAGTTTTTTCGTAAATGTGCTGACCATCATAAATCATGGAACTTGATATGTAATATTTACCGCTATTCTATAGCATCAGAATTAGTTTGGCCATACGTTTTAAATCATAACAATCCAACTCCTAACGGATATTTGGAATGGGCTAAAAATCAAATTGATGAAACATATAAACTAAAATTTGAACAGGTTAATTATTATATTAATTTCAATTTATATATAAAATATAAAAATACTAAATATAATTAATAATATGGAATAATAGATTTTTACTTATCTTCAAGCTATTATTGACTTTTGTACTAGAGTTCGAAATAATCAACCTTTGTTGTATAATGCAGCTAGGCATCAATTTGTACCAATATAGTCATCTAGATACCATCCAATTTACAGAATACTTAAAATATCTCATGAAGAAAATTTATTATATTTGAAGCCTCATATTCGTGAAATTGTTGAAAATTTCTCAGTTGTATCTCATTCTGGGCTTCAGAATCAACATCAAGGGCTTGATGCCGTTGTAGAAGAAATTAATAAGGCATTAAAGTCTTTAATTCCTCCAGTCCCATTACAATGTCATTGGGAAATTGCTGCAAGAAATTATACAAATTTTATGAAGATAATTCAATAATATTATGCTTCAAATTAAATCTAGTTATTCTGAACCAGAATTAGAGTATCCAGCTTCAAAATTTTAAATGAAATGTTAGCTTAAGCATACAGGAATAAGTGTATAGAGAATACATTACAGTTATTGCATAGGTATGTAGTGAATAACCTAGTTTTATACGGGTTTATATTCCATGCTGAAAGCATGGGATTTAAATATAAACCCATATGTGTAGCTAGGTTATTCAACATATCTATACAATAATATGGGTTATCAAACGATTTACTTATGTAGTAAAAGTAAATTGTTTGATATTTGTACAGTATACCATAAAGTACTGACTAAATATCTGAGTATATACGAAGACTTGAGATAAATTCAAACATTATTTCTTGAGATATAATATATATATAGTATCTGAATATAAATTAAATCATAATTTTCAAATTATCTATAAATGCAAATCATGGAAAGATTGACAAGCCTGTACTTTATGGTATTAATTATATACTTTTAAGCTAAGTAATCTCATTAAAAATTCTAAAGCCTGGTAACTTAATTCTAAATCAGAATCATCAGAATCTAAATTCAGCAGGTTCTAATTTAATTATATATAGTAATATAATTTGAATTAAATTAATTATAACATAATGATTACTAAAATCTAGTTGCGTACCAACCTGTTTAATGTTATTGGATATGAGAATAATAAGAATTTAGAACAACGAACTCAACCTAATTCTTATGTGGAACAACAACGTTTTCATATGTATTTGAGGAAGAACCAGTTTTTTAGTCTAAAAATAAATAATATGTTAACTAATTTAGATGGTGATGTTAACTTGAGCAGGAGATAAAATCATTTAGTATACTAGCACAAGAAAGAAGACAAATGCTTATTAAAAATACCTTATTACAGCAAACTAATACTAATGTTTGGCGTCCGATTCCAGTAACAGAACAAGAAGCTGATGCACTAAAAAATGAAAATACAATGAGAAAAGAAGAACTCATTGCAATTATTAATTCAGTACTTATCTCACTTCCTGATTCATAACGCACGAAATATACCAATCTAAAAAACAAAACAAAGGCTGTACTCCTAAAAATATTACAAGAAATACAAGATTTAAATGGTGCTGAAGAAACTATAGATGAAGAGAATACTAATAATGAGCTTACTAATGAAAACTAACAAATAAAAGTTAATAAAATCACATCCATTATATAATTCTTACTTATTGCGTAATTACTAACATTGTTTAAAGCAAAACTCGAATTTAGTTTTTGCTAAAGTTTTATGTTATTAATATAGTAAAATACAATATTGCATAAGATAGATAAATTAGAAAACTACCGACCTAGACAATTAAATCTCAAATGTAAATATATTCTCATAATATAAACTATATATTTCAACCAAATCTTTTATATCATATTTCGCAAGGCCAACACCTGGGGTCTTTGCCTTGAAAATCACCTTCCGACATTTTCGATCAGATTAATTTGGACAAAACTAAACCCGAGTACCGGTTCATGTTTATATGTTAATCATCTTTACTTTTATTGATTCAATAGTTTATCG